TTAGCGTAAAACACATAGAAACAAAAGCAACCAAAAATTATCCATTATACAACTACGAGCAATTGGGTTTCCGCATAATTTCTGGTTTATATAATCGTTGAAACATCAAAATCGAAAATGTTCAAATTTCCCAAATTTACGGCTTTAGTGAGGAAGCAATAGTAAGAAGAAGAAAACAAAAGTACCGATTACACAAACAAGTAGAGATTGGATTTAAACAAAATTCCTTGGGTTCTACCATTTTTTGAAAGACCAAAAATCTATTAAAAATTTCGAAATTCGTTACATTGGCGATTTTGGTGAGGAAAACGACAAGACAACTAGACGCTCAGTAAATCAATTGCGACCAAATTTGGGGATATGCTATTTTTTTGAAACATTGAAGACATTTAAATCGGAATCTTTAGATCGTCAAAATCCTCGCTATTAGCGGAAAAATCAAAATAAAATATTTTAAAAAATTATGTAAAAAATATTTTAATGTATCATAAAAACTTAATGAAAATTTTACATACATACATTAATTACAGGTGCTGGAAGACAACGACTACGGTCGTCAGGTGGATTGGTGGGGAGTAGGGGTGGTGATGTACGAGATGATGTGCGGGAGGTTGCCCTTCTACGCCCAGGAGCACGAGCAAATGTTCGAGCTCATCATCCGGGGAGAGCTGAGATTCCCGTCCCGATTGAGCCAAGAAGCCAAATCCCTGCTCACCGGATTGCTCGTCAAGGATCCTCTTCAACGGTTAGTGTTTTGACTTGGAGCGCTAATGGAATCAAATTAAAAAATTTTTGCGATTCATTAAATTCCTTTGAAAACACGTAAAATTTGAATTTTAAATTTTCGTTGTCGGCCGCTTACTGTAAATACATTAAATTCAATATTTTTCGCAACGTTTTAAAAGAATTATTAAGCGGTAAAATTAAAATAGCAGTATTAAGGAAACATTCATTAAATTCTTGTAATTTTAATACGTGAAACATTTGATTCTGAAGAATTTACAACGAGATCAATTTTAATTAAAATTTATGATTAAGGATTTAAAAAGAACAGATTTTATTGTTGGTATTGTGGCTTCAAATCATTAAAATCAACAAACGTTTGACTTTCGTCGCCCTAATTATCAATGAGGAGGACTTTTTATCGGAGTTGCAACCAAGACCTTACGTTCCTGAAACTGTATGAAACACCGAAATTCCAAAAGCGTTCCATGCCAAGTATGAGAAAATATACATTGTATAAGAAAAATGACATAAATTTTTTTTTAATCCTTTCTTTTTGTGAGTAGCTGATCATTAGAAAATGAACGGAAATTGCTCTACGATTTTCTTCGAAAGTTCTGGAATAAGGCGGCTTCCAGATACTCTCTGAGAGTGTGTGAGCCCATTGCAACCCATAAACGTCAATTTTTCAACTTTTGAAATTCGATTGGAAAAGTCAATGAAAGCAACGTTCCAAAGCCAAATTATCTGTTCATGCTTTTCCTGTCAAGACGTTATTAATTAGGTGTACGTATCGCGCCCCGCAATAAACCGTAAAACATTCAAATTTAGCCCCCAAATACGATTTGACAGAAAATTCTCCAAACTATCCCAAACCGGGTCGCCTTCAAAATATCGAAGATCATAGTGTCGAAATTTAAATGCCAAAATTTTCCTAATATTTTGGGGGCGAGTCAAAAACCAAAAGGGGCAGCAGAGCTGCCCCGGAAAAGGCCGGGGAAAATTCTATTCTTTTTAAAATCCAAACTCGATGTGAAAATTTCAACTTTATTAATAGTATTTACCTTATCAATTACAAAAATCGTGGCATTAAATTGTGGCTGGCAATCAAACCCTCGCAATTTTCTTGTTTCACAAAACGATTTCATCTCCATTATTTTTGACGGAAAACAACTACTAATACAACGTATTTCGATTGCCGCTGACACTGTTGAGCTGAAACATTTTATTTTGCAGACTTGGCGGCGGCCCAGACGATGCGATCGAAATCACACACCACCCGTTCTTCGGATCGATCGATTGGCAGCGGTTGTATAATAAGGAGATTGAGCCTCCATTCAAGCCGCTTGTCACCTCCGACACCGACACCTCCTATTTTGATACCGTAAGCTATTGCAAATTTTTTATTCGGGGCTAGTTGATTTTATTGCAAATATATTTTTGTTTTGTGGAGCAGTTAGGCGTTTTATTGACCATCGAATTTTCGCACTTTTGCGTCGGAGTATTATAGTGTAAAGAATTGAGCCATATGTAAATTTTTTTGAAACATATGTTTCGCATCTTGTTACCGTGAGCTATTGCAATTTATCATCTATTTCAGTAGTTAGTTTTTCAAGATTTTCTTATTTTGACCTAGTTGACAATCGTTATTTTGAGGTACATCGTACGATAATTGCCGTGTCAAAAATCGAGTCGGAACCAAATTTTTTTGAAACACACCATATATGGATTTCGTTTTGATACAATAAGTTAATCCATTTTAAAATTTATTGCTTCTTAATTTTTAGTTTATTTTTCGTTGATCAATTTAATAGTGGGTTTGGTTAATTTATCGGGGAGAAATTTATGGATGTGAGAAAAAATTGTAGTAAAGCCGTTCGGCCAAATTCAAACATTATTTGAAACATGGTTTTGTCAAAGTGCTGCTTGGGTTGTATTTTCTTATTTTCCCATTTTCAGACGTTTACCTCCGAGCCAGTGCAGCTGACACCTCCACCGGTACGCGCCGGTCCACTCGATACGGTCAGTTTGAGACCTTTGCGTAAATCCTACCTTATATAATTAATGGGATTCACATGTGTGTGTTTGTGTGTCCGGGCGTCATTTTCGAGGCCCGATTTGAGGGCTTTCCTGTGTTCAAAACGCCCCATCTTCGTCACTCGGGGTAATCGGACCTCCTCTTTCCGATGGCGTTTTCAGAATTGCGATAAAATATAAGTTTACAAAGATAAAGCCCGATTTATTCATTTTGGAGGTTCCGGAGGCCTAATTTGCATAATATAAAAAATACAAAATTTCCTCATTCTGGCCAGATCCACGCGTGGGTGCGGCCGGCAGAGGTGATCGGAAAGTCCAATTTCTCATGCAAACACCGCATTCCAGCGCCCAAGGCCCGCGAAGCGGGTTTTGGGCGCTGGTTGTGAAATATTTTTGCAACGAATGCGCCGCTTAATTGGGGTCGGCTGGAAATTTGTTTTGACTGAGATTTTCCGAAACAACGAATTTCTAAAGGGGCGTCTTGCAAAATTCACGTGTCCAGAACAAAAATACCTAAGATGCAAATCGTAGTATCGAACTTCTGACAGCTCACAACATTAAGACATGCATATTTTTGACGTCGTAAAAGTGAAAATCTAGAAATTTGGTCAGAATTTATGAAAAATTAAGCGGTTTAAGATAACTCTTTAGCTAGCTTGGTAGCCAAAATTTTGCTTTGATTTGTTCTGGCGCCTTCTTCACCTGTATGCAAATTTCAGATCAATAAAAAATACTTGGTATTAATATATAAAAATGATTCAATAAATTATAGTAGACAATCGTAACATTAAAAATACGGTCGAGTCATTCGGGTAATATTCTAAAAAGATAATTGTTATATTTTTCCAGGTTGCCGAAGAGGAGGAGATGATCCAACAAAACTTTACCCATTTCTCCTACAAACACGAGGCCAGCCCCCGACAACATCAGCAGGCCGTCGAAATGATGGAATAAAAAAGCGGCCGAATCAATGTTTCAAAAAAATTAAAAAATTTGATTTTCAGCAAGTTGTAATTTTTTTCCATCGCGAGCGAGATAGTCTTCCCCCAGTAATCTGTGATTGGAGAGCGCCAATTAGCAGAGGATCATTGCTGTTTGCGTTTTTCGAAGAATACTTCTTTAAGAAGAAACATTCAAATTGAAATAAAAATTGAATAGAGCTAGAAACTTGTAGTCTGTATACGTGCCTGTATTTCTCTGTGTTTCACTATTGCACCCTATAGAATTGTCCCTAATTTTTCGGGGAATTTATGTAGAGCCAATGAAGGGTCATCAGGAGCTAGGAGTTAAAAGCAAAAAATAAAAACGGGGAGCAGGGAGCTGGGAAAAGGGGGGACAAAAACCGTTGCGCCGCGGCTGGGCGAGGACCGTTGCGGTCACTTACCGTTTGAGAAACAGCTCCCAACTCCCAGCAGCTCCCCAATAGAGCCCTACAGATCTGAATTTTGGACCTTAACACCCAAAATTCAGATCCAAAACGGTCCCTGCGTTGCGGCTACAATTTTTGATTATCATGGAAATACAGCTCCCAGCTCCCCGGCTCCCTGCTGCTCCGGCTCCAAGCTCTACGCCTTCAAGCTCAAAATCTGGTGGCGGAGCTCGTAGTGAAGCTAAGATTTGGGAGCCAGCTAGGAGCAATTTGGAGGCGTTGTAATGCTTCACGTTTTCTCCAATTTCCGATCTTTCGTCTCTTTGATTTTGGGCAGCTCCTAGCTCCCAGCTGCTCCCAGCAAGCGCTTCATAAACTTCCCGGAAAAATGTCTTTTTTTACACCTTATTTTAAGCTTTTTCCAAAAAGCAAGGTCTGATTCTGCCGTTCAGTCAGCATCACCAAATTTTTGATTTTTTCCATTCTTTGAAACATTTTCTTAAAACGGTTTTTCCCTCGATTCCTTCGATTCGATAAACGCTGTAAACCCCCCGTCCCCTTTGTTTCGTGTCTACCTAAATACGTGTCCCCCAACATGAAAATTTGCAAATGTCTTTGCTGCGTGAAAATTGTGTGTTTCGACATCTTCTAAGCATTGTTAAAGCCAGAATAAACATTTGTAAAGCAAAATGGGGCTCAACAGGCAAGAAAAAGGCCAAGGCAACGACAGGGTTGAGTTCAGCCGGCAACAAGATGAAGAATTACTCCTTTTGAATTGTGCAAATTAGGGTGATCACTAACACTCACTCACATAAAGGGTTCACTAAACGTTTTTTGTAATAAAAATTTTTGATTTTAATAAAAGTAAGTGTAAGATTTAGACGTTTTCAAAACATTTTAGATAGTTTTTTTTTTGGGTTGAAATATAGTTATTTTTCTACGAAAAACGCTATTAAAACACTTGCTATTAGGTTACCATTACCAGAACGTTCTGTCAGGAAAGGCGTAAAAATTCTTCAATTGCGATTTTTGTAAAAATCTCCATGGTGCACCGAAAATCCGCCCGTTTCGTTAAAATATTAGTAAATTAGATGAGTACATTACAGAGAAATTTCGACATATTGAGAATCGAACAGCCGTGCTGGACTCGCCTTTCCGAGAGCTTTCGATAGATACCTAAATCGTAAAAATCGGATAGGTCTGCGGCCGGCTAGGGGGATTTTTTGGGACACCCTGTAGTTGCCCAAAGCTCCTCTCTGTACTCGGCCTCGTATTGCCGCTCTTGCTTTGCCCGAAACCAGCTTTTTTTCCCGAAACATCGAGCTTTTTGTCATTTTTTTCGTGGAATATTTTTCGGCAAAATTTTTGTTATTTAACCGTTTAGGTGCTATCCAGGCTGTGTTTTCGCAAACCGCTTTGAAAAAACCATCGTCGGATGCCAGGAAAGGCGTAAAAATCCTTAAATTGTGATTTTTGTAAAAACCACTTCGGTCAGAAAATACCAAAGCTCCTCACTTTTTGCAAAAGAATATCAGCAATTGTTAGAAAACTTTCAAAAATTTGCAATTTCATAAACAATCAAAGGATGTGCTGGACTCGCCTTTCCGAGGGCTTTCGATAGATACCAAAATCGTAAAAATCGGACACGACTGCCGACCGCACGCCACCAATACGCCAGAAGAGCTAATAGGGGTGGCCAAATACGGTGAGACTTCATTTGTCATAATCGTGCTATGCAAGGACAACGCTAACCAATGAAACGAAACAAAAAGATAGGCTAATCCGGTGGCAAGAATTATCGCTTTTGCTTTGCCGGAGATCCGTTTTTTCCCGAAACATCGACTTTTTTGTAATTTTTTCGTGATTTTTGTTTCGTTCCTGTCCGTGCCCCCCCGTTAAGCAACCTTTATCAAGATAATAACGTGGCAAAACTCGCTAAATCACCCTTTGCTTCGTTTTTTGGAAGCGCTCGAAGTGGATTATTCAAGAGTAGGACACCGAAGTACGGCAGCTACGACATGACGACCTTCAGCGAGCCGTCCATCCTACAACAGCTTCATCATCTAGATTGCCCAATTCCTGCTCAAACCATTGTCAAATGTCTTTGTGTTTCTATTTGTGTGGCGAATTCTTTTGGTTTTGGTTTGTCCATAAACTCGTTTTATTGCAACAACTAATTTGAATAAATTAGCCCTGTCGCATCGCTATTTTCATAAGTTCGTCTTGTCGCAAAAGCTTGACAATGACGCATTCTGTTCAGCTGCAAGTTTTTGCTTTTAGATTACCGGTCAACGGAGCTTTGTTAACTAAACCGGAAGCTAGGAGCTGGGAGATGATGTCGAGTCAACGTACCATTAGACAACTAAGTTTTTTGGGTTTTCTAAAAATTGGAAAAACACATTTTTTTTGCAGCTGTGCTAGCTGCAATCGGGGGACCGGAAATGGGCGTCCAATTTGTGAACTCACAATACTGGCGCCATGATAAAGCCTCCCGACCATGCCCAATTTATTGACGCGTTGCTGCTGCTGTTTTTGATAACGCCAAATAATGGCCGTTCTTTATTTGGCATGGAAAAATTTCGTGATTTTGTTATATAGGAGATGAGCTTTGAGAATGTCGGGACTTTGGGACATGTCAGATTGCAGAATTTACGCCGATTCCGAATAGTTATGATGCATTTCTAAAGCAGAGTTTAAGCATAAATTAGCTATTCCGATAAAATAGGCTTCGATTTAGACAAACCAGATAGTGCATCTTGTTCAGAAAACAATTCTCTATAAATTGTACCATCTTCTCCAAAATCATTGAAAAGTTAGAAAAATTTGATAAATTCGGAGGCCCCTAATTTTACATAAATTTTCAAAATTCCAACATTTTTGTGTTAAGTAAAATCTTTTATAGAGAATTTTTTTCTGAACAAGATGCACTATCTGGTTTTGTCTAAAACCTATTTCGAAGCCTTTTATGACTATCGGAAGTAGCCGATTTTGGGCTGATTTGATGTTTAAATCGCTCATAACTTTCGAGAAATGGCTATTCCGCAAAAACGGTTGCCATATCCGGAATCAGCGTAAAATTCTGCACAAGATAGGCCTAGTCCCATGCCAAAGTCCCGACGACACTCAAAAACGTCTCCTTGTTAGTAGTTTTTTTAGTTTTTGTCGTAGTATTCGTTTGGCGTGGAAATTGATACTTTAGTTTACCACTGGACAAGTTTACAAAATTTTGAATTGTAGTTAAGAACCCATTCATAATTAAGCCAATCCAAGAACCCATTGATTATTTTGTTTACCTCTAAAAAGTGTTTTTGGAAGTTTAATTTTGAGCTCTGAATTATATAAATGATGTCTGTATGTACTTAAGCTTTCCATTATCGTATATTTGAGAAATAAAGTTTAAAAAAGCGCTTTCCCATCCCCTACCCCTGTAAGAAAAACATGTTTCTATGAAACATTGGGTCTTCCGTTTTGCAAAGTTTTCGTTAGTTTGCAGTTCGTTTTTGGTTAGTGGAAAGCAAATTCTATTTCCAAGGCTGCGATAAGAAGCTATTTTGGAATTTGGAGTCGAGGCTCTGGCCGAACGCTAATTATTTTCATTGCACAATTAATTCACGCTGTCAAAAAACCCCTGGAATTTCTGGCGTAATAGCTTATTTACGTTTTTAACGTCCTAAATGTGTTTTGGCAAATATTCATGCTTCAAATTTTGTCGTACCATTAATGTTGAATTTTACTGGGACGAACACAAAATTTCTATAGTACTGTACCGTAAGACGAAATCTTTGTAAGAAAGTTCGAACTACTACACTATTGTTAAATTTGGAGCACTAGACTCCGGTCTAAAACAATTTTTTTTCACCCCATAAATAACTCGCGCTTTCAAAACAAACCCGTAATTCTTGGCATTGTAACTTGTTTTCGTTTTAACGCCCGTAAAAATGTGTTTTATTCGTTTTCATTGTATTTTGTCGGCCCGTTAAGGCTGAATTTTGCTTGGATTAACACAAAATGGCTATAGTACTGTACCGTACGACGATTCGACTCAAACACCCTAAAATATTAAGTTTACGTTTTCTGAGCATTCTAGCTTTTAAAGTTTTTGCAGAAAAATGGGTTTTTACAATCTAATAAAAATTTTGTATTTCGTCGTGATTAAAGCTAAGTTTTACCTGAATTAACACAAAATTTCTATAGTAGCGTATAAGCCGACTGAAAGAAAAACAAGATTAAAAAGTCAAGTTAAATTTTCTCGAGGCCGTATATTGAAACATTTTTTTAGAAACATGGAATATTTGATACTGCACTGCCTGAATGAATAAAATAATAAATAAACAAGAAATATAATTGGGCTGTTTGGTGCATCTCAAATGATCAGTACTATATTGTATTAGGAAAAATTAGAAAATTCCCGAGCTTTTTCTAAAAAACGCGTTTGACTTCCGGTACAGCCCCCCCCCCCAACTTTGTTTTCGGCTTCTCGCACCTGTCACTTTTTGAGTACTTTGTAGCCAGGGCGGGCCGGGCCCCCCATATTTCCATGCCCCGCCCATTCGAATTCCGCCCAGTTTTTTTGTGCCCTAAAAGCTGCGGTTGAAGCTCTGTAATTCCTAATTTTGACTGGTTTAAAAAAATGTGTTTTGTGTATTCTGGCCATTAAGCTTCCGGCATTACTTTAATTGGGGACCTGTAGCGTTACCGACGTGATTTTTTTAGCAAAATAGTCAGCTGGTAACACCTGTTTTTCCGGGATCTCTTTATCATTCAAAGTGAAACGTCTAAACGTCTAAAAACTTTACAAGATTTTAGCAAATTATACAAAGAATATTAATTCTCTTGCCAAAAATTGCAAAATTTTGTAAGTTTTTAGATTATTTTCCCTTGCAAATATAGTTAAATTTGGCCAAAAAACGCCATTAAAATATTTCCCATAGGGATACTAGAGATTTCTCGATCTGCAGAACAAGTTAGATTTCTTCGATCCTAGAAAATGTTTGTTTCAGATTTTGAAAAATCCAGAAGGACGGTTTGTGTGTTAATGCACCCCAATTGTGAGCGTTTAAAAACGACCTTACAAGAATTCGAAAATTAAGGAGACCATTCGGAAAAGAAAAACTACCGAATCTACCGATAGGTTTATTTAATTGTAAACCCGATTTGCGATTATTATTCCTAGATTATTCCTAACAACGCTACAAATTTGCTCAAAAATACAAAGAATTTCGATCGAACAAAATCTTCAAAACCCTAAAGTTTTTAGATAGTTTCCACCTGAATATCGTTAAATTTTACTAGAAATCATTATTAAAATATTTCCCATGAGGATACTAGGCATTTCACGACTGGTAGAAGGTTCGGCTCCCCGTTAATGCCAAAGAACCTTTTATGCTACGATAGTGCCCAAGCCCTCGCCGAATGTCTGGCCGATTTTCGGTTCCTTTCGGAAAATATGTTTGTTTGTTGTTGTAAATCCCGCATGGCGGTTTTTGTCTCAATTATTCCATGTTGGGTGTTGGAAATGATCTTGCAAGAAAAATTCTCCCAATTTTATGAAATCTGCGTAAGAGTTTACTTTACCCCCCACAGCCGAAGGGTCTGAAAGTTTCGGTATTTTCGCTTATTTTGTCCGGTTTTTTGCCACGCCATTCGATGCGTCGAAAAATATAGTAAGAGTGTTAATTTCAACCTACAATAATGTAAAATAAACAAGTTATAGCCAAAAACTTCCGACTGGGGGGGAGGGGAGAGAGAGAGAGAGAGAGAGAGAGAGAGAGAGGGCCTACCCCGTCACGATCACATCAGCCTGTTGGCCAATTGGTTTTGTGTCCGCTTGCCGCGCACAACGTCCGGGTTCGATCCCCCGCCCGTGGCAACAAATTTTGCTTTTTCACAAGCTGGGAGTTGAATGTTTCTTTGAAATTTGGGGTGTGGCGAATTCGAGGTGAGATAATAAGACGAACATCTTATGGAACTTGGAAAAATGTGGAACCCACTGGGTGTCCCGCATAAAAATGGGCGCGCTGGCATTTCGCCATTTTGCACGCCAATTTTACGCATTTTTATCAAAAAAGCGCAACGTGTATTGTTTGTTCAAATAAAATATTCAAATATTATATATAAAATCAAATATTTCATTTCATGCCTAATTTCCGGAGTCCGTTTTCCGGAAAATATATTTGTTTCGAGTTTTCCGAATCTTGCTATCTAGCTAGTTTTTCTTAGGAATTATTTATCGGTTTTGCAACAAATTTTTCCTTTTTTGCGCAAATAATATGTTTCAAGTTTTCCCATTTTAAGTGATTTTCAAGAATTTTTAATGATCATTTTCAGCAAGGTGGGCCCGGGCGAAATTTCAAGAATTTTTAATGATCATTTTCAGCAAGGTGGGCCCGGGCGAAAATGGGCCCTTTGTTTGGCCTCTTTTTCGGGGCCCTAATCGGATGCGCCTTCTCAGTCCAAGCAATCGATAATTGCCTCAAAAATCGCTTGGATTTGAATGGCAGCCTGGATTTTGCCGTGATTCCGATACAACTACTGGGTGGCCGAAGTGAGTTAATTTTTGCAATCCTTATGCATTAGCATTTTTTTTAATTGATCCTGCTACTTAATAATTGATAAACATAGTTTAATTTAATAGTATTAATTTAATGTTTTGTATGTAAATATATCTAATAATTAGAGTTTTTCGCTTATCCAGACGTACCTTTTTGTAAAAAATGTTTCATGAAAATCTAAGGTTCGAAAGCTAGGAGTTCTTGATAATCTTCGTCCTTTTAGTAGACATGATAAGCTAGTTACTATTTAAATATTTTTTTACTAATATTTTTATAGTTAAGTTTTAAATTAATATATAAAAGGTGGAGGTTGCATTATCTTTTTCCTCTACCGCTTACGCCCTATCATGAAAAAAATATTTTAGCAGCAGCGTATTCTTTTTGTTTTAAAATTGCCAACAACTCCCCAGAGTTTAAAAAAAAGATCTTTTAGCAAAATTGATAGTTGTTAACAAATGTTGGCTGGTATTATGAGGTACGCAGCCAATTTGGACTAGTTTTGTTTTTTTGTAGGCAACCAGATATAATTTATAATGTTTTTTAATCCATTAAATAGTTCTTGATTGCCAAGTAATCGTTAAAAACCATTTTTAAAAATCAGGAAATTTATATTTAGGATTTTTCGGCCATTTTTATTAATTTTTGAAAAAGTTATGCATCTTGGTAATTTTATACGGTTTTACGCGCTTTATATTGAAAAGCATTGAAAAATGCGATAATAATGGGGTATGTTTTGGTTAAGTCCCATCGGTAGACTGGAAAAAAAAAGGATTTTCCCCGCTAACCCCCCGTCATAACAGAGCTGTTTGTGTTTTTTCGCATTATGCAAATAAGCTCTCAAGGATGCCGAAAATTACTAAAACTGGCTTTAACTTTGTAAACTTATCTTTTATCGAAATTCTAAGAGCGCCTTCGGAAAGAGGAGGGTCGATTCGCCCTAGTGACGAAGAGTTAGGGAATTTTAGACACGGGAAGACCCTCAAATCGGGTCTGAAAAGTGACATCCAAACACACAGACACAGTCACAGACAGCCCAAAATTATATAAGGTTGGATAAGTTTTGAAACAATTTTTTATAAAAATAAAAATACAAAAAAATATTTTGTCATCACTACCACATATGCCGTTCAGGTTACAAATGCCATGCCGCCGGCGAGGAGACGATGGTATTTCGGCTCGACGACGATCAAGAAGCTGTAGAACACGTCAGTTTTGACTTTATTTGGTTTTCTCGAAACATCAATTTTTCGAAACGTTAAGTTTCGCCAAAATGAAATTTGCAGCAAATTTAGCAAATCGTCGGTTTTTATTATACTGCCATACACGAGTTTTCTTAAGCATAGCGATTCGTTTCATTTTTGTCACCGAATTTTGGTAAAGGTTGACTTCCCAGGATTTTCGGTTTATTTCTCATTTTCGGCAATTTTTCAGTGGTATCGTTCAAAATTTCTAATTGATTATGATTTACATTTTATTTGAATTTTAATTGGGATAATTTCAAAGTGAATGCTGTCATAATGTGGTAGGTACCGTGCCTTCACAGCCCCTTTAAAATGAAAACCATGTAAATTTAGGCGCTAGGAATTCGTGTACTTCTCGATGAAGCGACTACTAGCCCGGCCCTCCACGTCACGGCAACGAATGGGCACGATTTGGATGCGTTTAGCGTACCCGAATTGGCCAGGTAAATTTGTCTCGACTTATTAGACGGTTTTCCACTTCGAAACATTGAAAATTTCGGGAATTTTTAGTAGATGCCATATAATAAAAGTAGAAAAGTATAAAAAATAAAAAATATAGAAATGCAAGTATAAAAAATAGTGTCTGTGTATGTGTATGACACTTTGCATGCAACTTCCGTCAGCGTGTCCGGAGAATATCTCAAGGGGGGAAGCGTTGAAGGGAGCGTATGATACGTCATGAGGTGGACGGGGCCAGGGTTGAAAAGTCGCGAAGCGGCTTTTCAACCCTGCTGTAATTTAATAATCTAGATCATAATTTCATATTAATTGAAAACCCTATAAAATACGAAAACTGCTCTACTTGCCAACTTGAATTAGACTTCAATTGAATATATCAACTATAATAATTTTCTTGACGCGTCCGTCCGTCTGTCTGTGTGAAGCCGAATTCAACTCGAAGGGGAAAGGAGCTAGAGCTTAGCTCTCTTCGGATTCGGATAGAGCGTGGTCAGAAACCCCCAAACTGATCAAGATCAGAATTTAAAAACTTCAGTTTCATATTTAAAAATCGATTTTAAAATACGGCTAATACATTTTTGGCGGCAACGCAAGGCTCCTTTACACGTCGTGATAGGGTGGGGATACAGGGATCGTGGCCACTGAAAATTTTCACATGGCTTTCGCGTTTTCTTTCTTTTTCTTTTTCTTTCTTTCTCAATCGTTTTTCTTTTTTTGTGTTTTTAGGTTTTTTATTATCTCTCTTCTCTATGCGCTAGATTTTCTTGCATATTTCATTTCCATAACGTCCGGCTTTACCATTTCCATTCCTAATTTGTGAATTTTTCTAGGTAACCCTCATTGGCTGCCCTACTCCAAACTGGATCGGGCGGTGCTATTTCGCATTGCCGGTAAAGTTGATCTTACGACTCTTATATATCATTGTTTAGTAGCACAAACAACAACCGCCCCTCCGCACCTCAAAGCGTCCTTTGCTGCGCATATCCACGGGCAGTGCCATTCCGGTAAACCTATTCGATCCATCGCTTACGGCTTCCATTTTTAGGTCGGTGCACCGCAACCATAAAGCTCGGTCTCGACGACTCATCATTGCTAGGTAAGCTCGCCTTTCTTTCTTCTTTACATTCTTTGCCTAGGTGCCATCGACAGCGCACAGCCAACTCCAGGCATCAAAGCGACGCGCGCAGCCAATACGCATTGCCGGTAAAGTTGAGTTTGCTTCTGTTAGATTCAAGGCTTAGGTGCAAAACAAGCCCAAGCGGACTGCAGCCACCCCCGTGCAAGTCATCGACATCCTCGCGCTCCTCCATCAGGTAAAGCTCCTTGGATCGATCGTTTACGTTTTCCATTTTAGGCCGGTGCAAGCAGGAATCCACAGGCGAACCCTCTTCATTCCTCCCTGCCAGGTAAACTCGCCTTTATTTTTCTTTCACTTTCTATACTTAGGTTGAAAACAACGAAAGACCATTTCTAGGCCGGTCCAAGTCAACCCTCAAGAGGGAGCTTTTACCTTGAAGTCACGTGCTCTGCCATTCATTGCCGGTAAACTTCACTTTACTCCTCTTATATTCCAGGCTTAGGTGCATAGAAAAACAGTCGCTCCGCTACGAGAAATGCCACGCGCCAGGTTGACTGCCGCGGAACGCGAAGCTGCTGCAGAGCGCCGTCGGCAACAACAACAGGCACGCCGGGCAGCTGAGTCCACGCAGGCGGCGGTTGCGAGGAGGACCGCCAATGCAGTGCAAAATCAAGCAAGGCGCCGCGCCATGTCGCCAGGCACGTTGACGCCCATTCGTCAAGCGGATGCGGCGCAACATCAAGCCCGGAGGCGTACCCTGTCGCCCGGGACTGCGGCGCCAATTCGCCAAGCAGACGCCGCACAACATCAAGCCCGGAGGCGTACGTTGTCACCCGGGACTGCGGCGCCCATTCGCCAAGCCAACGCCGCACAACATCAAGCCCGGAGGCGTACGCTGTCACCCGGCACTGCGGCGGCAACTCGCCAAGCTAATGCAGCACAACATCAGCAACAGCGCGCCCAGCTGACGCCGGTGCAAGCAACAGCCGTCTATCAACAGCGCCAAACGGTTCGGCAACAACGCGCGGCAGCTGCCATACGCCCAGGGCGGGATCCGGCCTCGGGCCCCGCACAACACTACCTCGGAGCTATGCTCCGCCTCTGCCTTGGCTGCAACGCCCTGCATTTCGAAACCGAGGGCAATGGCCGGCGTCCACAATCCTTCCAAGCATGCTGTGGCGGTGGGCAAGTCATCGTCGACCCCTTTGGAGACACGCCACCAGAACTCCGTCTTCTATTCGAACGGGACCACAATGCCGGAGCAAACTTCCACCAAAACATCCGGCTGCTCAACGGAGGCCTGGCAATGGCGTCAATGGCCGGAGATTTTCAGTCCCCGCCTGGACATGGACCATATGTGTTCCGCATCCACTCGACACACTATCATCGGACCGGCCCGCTTCACCCCAACCCCGGACAGGCACCCCAATGCGCCCAAATACTCATTATGGATACGGAAGAGGCTGCTGCCGAGCTGGCGGGGCGCCCGATGAACCGGACATGCGATACCGACCTGTTCCGACAACTCCACCAAGTGATCAACCAGCACCATCGGTACGCGCAGGCCTTCAAGTGCATGGACGAGGTGGTGGAGGAAGAGGAACGACAAGCCGCAGCCGCCGGGCGTCCACGACAAGCCGAAGTCAAGATGGTGTTCGTCACGGACGGGCGTGACGATCAGCGTCGATACAATGCCGCCACCGCTACCGAGGTCGCCGTCATCTACGTTGGAGACGATGAGGACATCCCCGGAGAGCGGCAATTTGTCATCCACGAGCGCAACAGGCCGTTGCGGACCATCAGCATCCTGGATCCCCGCCTGGATCCGCTGACATATCCGTTGCTCTTTGCAACTGGACTAGACGGATGGCATCCCGGCCTGACCATTGCCAACCCAGGTACCCGCCGCAATACCCGGGTCACGATGCGACGCTACTATGCCCATCTTTTCTTCCCGAGGCCCGGCAAATTCAATCCGCTGCTCCGAGCTGGCCGCCTTGCCCAACAATATGCCGTGGATGTGTTTATGCGCGTCGAACAAAATGAGCTACAGTTCATCCGGCAGAACCAGAAGCTCTTGCGGCTCGACAACGTGCAAGGCCTGCGTGCCCACATCAACAACAATAACGGAGACGAGCCAGCGCCCGGCCGGATCATCCGTTTGGGATCGAAGTTCAAGGGCGGACCCGGATACATGCAAGGCCGCCACACAGATGCAATGGCCCATGTCCACCGATTCGGGAAGCCTGATCTCTTCATCACCGTCACCTGCAACCCAAGGTGGAAGGAAATCGATGACAATCTCTACCCCGGTCAAACCGCCTCGGACCGCCCCGATTTGGTGGCGCGCGTCTTTGATCTCAAAGCACAGGCCATCCTGAAGGACCTTACAAAAGACGGAATTTTCGGGGAGCCCAGCTGCTGGATCTACGTGATCGAGTATCAGAAGCGTGGACTCCCACATATGCACCTGCTCCTGACGCTGAAGTCCGCCTACAAATTGCGCACCGAGGATGACGTGGACAACATCATTTCCGCAGAATTGCCCGACAAGACGATGGACCCGGAGTTGTATGGCATCATCTCGACGTGCATGATCCACCGCCCCTGTGGCTTTGACAACCCGGCCTCTCCCTGCATGTCAAACAACAAGTGTCAGAAGGGTTTCCCCAAAGCCTGGCGCCATCATACCACTATGAACGACGATGGATATCCAGCATATCGTCGACGGGATGATGGTCGTTTTGTCATCTGCCGAGTCAACGGACGCGAGATCAAGCTCGACAACCGCCACGTCGTTCCGTACAGCCCGTACCTCTCGAGAAAGTTTGCTGCGCACATCAACGTCGAGTACTGCGGCGTCGTCCATGCGGTCAAGTACATCTACAAATACTGCTACAAAGGCCCGGACCGAGCACGCGTCGAGATAAGCGGAGGTGAAAGGGACGAAATCAAGGAATTTCTCGACACCCGCTACGTCTGTGCGCCCGAAGCCCTCTACCGTCTCTTCGGTCGGCAAATGGATGATCAGTCGCACTCCGTCGACGCCCTTCCTGTACACCTACCAGATGAAGCGAACGTGTGCTTCGAAGCCGGAGCCGAGGAAGAGGCGCTGGAGCGAGCGGAAGCAAAGGACACCGCCCTGACCGCCTTCTTCAAGGTCAACCAAAAGTGCTATGACGAGGAGCAGCAGACCGGGGTCGCGCCAGTTCCGGATTCGCGCGAGTTCTTCTACCACGCAATGCCGGAGCACTTCGTATTCAAGAAGGATGTGAGGGTCTGGGACGCCCGACAACGCGGTGGCAACAAGAAGATTGGCCGCATCACTGCCGTGCCCCCTCAAAACACCGAGCGTTTCGCCCTGCGCATGATGCTGCTGTACGGAAAAGGATACCGATCGTATGAGGACGTGCGCACGGTTAACGGGACGATCTATCCAACATTCGTGGAAGCGGCCCGTGAGGCCGGATACCTTACCGATGATGTCTGTTTTGAGCAAGCCCTGGATGAAGCTGCCGGCTTCCGGATGCCGCGCTCCCTACGATCGTTCTTCGCATCGCTGTTGTGCTTCGCCGATCTTTTCCCCCAAAGCCTGACGAACTCTGGGAGCGGTACAAGGATCAGTTCTGCGAAGACTTCCTCCACCAAGGACACGCGCCGCACGTTGCTGAATCGCTGGCCTTTCACGACATCTGCGACCGCATCGCCGACGCTAACCGGCGACCCGAGATCTTCTTCAGGGAGATACCGGCTCGGCTCAATCCAGATAATCCGCCGCCGGATTACGATGCCCACCGAAGGATCGGCCAGGAGATGTACGCCAAATTGAACGCCGAGCAGAAGGTCGTCGTTGATGCCGTCCTCGGCGCCCTGCAAGGCCGTTTGCCGAATCCAAGAACCTGCCACTTCATTGATGGTCCCGGAGGCAGCGGCAAGACCTTTGTCTACAAGACCATTTACCACCTCGCGGTCGCCGACAAGAAGCAGATCCTCAACGTCGCCTGGACAGGTAAATTTTTCAAATCTTTTGGTTTTTTAATCTTTAAAACTGCTAATTTTTTTTAGGCATTGCTGCCGCGCTCCTACCCGATGGCAAGACGGTCAGCTCTGCCTTCCAGTTGTCAATCGTCGACCACACCTCGATGCTCAAGAACCAGGACAAGAAATCTCAAGAGTTGCGAAAGGTCTGATTAGATTCGGTTTTTTTTGTTTTGGTGGCTTTTCAACAAACGGGTTTTTCAGGTTGATGCCGTCATCTGGGATGAAGCGCCGATGGCCCCGAAGAAGGCGCTGGAAGCGATCGACGAGAAGCTGAAGGACCTGATGGGGAACAACCTCCCGTTCGGCGGGAAGCTCTTCCTCCTCGGTGGCGACTTCCGCCAAGTTCTGCCGGTCGTCGAACGAGGAAGCCGACGGGACATGGTCGAGGCCACGATCAAGCGCTGCCGGCTCTGGCCCGAATTTGAACAACATTCCCTGAGGACGAATATGAGGGTGTCCACAGACGATCAAGCGTTCAAGGACTGGCTCCTCAACATTGGCGATGGCGCTGATCAGTTCGAAGGACAAATCGACGTTCCCAGTTCGATGGCGAACCAAGACAACTTAGCCGACAAAATTTTTGGTCCGGCATTCAAAGGGGAGCCGCTGGATCTTTCCGTTCGCGCCATTCTCTCGCCCAAAAACGCCGACGCGTTGAACATCAACAACGACGTTTTGGAAGCAATGCCGGGGCAAACTACAACATTCATCAGCCAGGACGACGTGGAGTCCGACAATCCGAGCGACGGTTACCGGTACCCGACCGAGTTCCTCAACAACATCGTCTGTGCCGCCCTCCCACCGCACAAGCTGAACCTCAAGGTCGGATGCATCGTCATGCTACTCCGAAATCTCTCGGTGAAGGACGGCCTGTGCAATGGCAGCCGAATGTATGTGCGAGCAATCGGCCAACGCGTGCTCACCTGTGAGCTGGCCACCGGCGACAGGAAGGGCGAAATGGTGCTGATCCCCCGGATTGACTGTCGCTACCAATACGAAAAAAACCTGTTCAAAATCGTCCGTCGACAGTTCCCCGTCCGGCTGAGCTACGCTATGACGATCAACAAATCGCAGGGGCAAAGCTTCGACCAAGTTGGACTGGCCCTCCACGAACGGATCTTCTCCCACGGCCAACTATATGTGGCGCTGTCAAGATCTCGCACCCGCGCCGGGATTCACATCGATTCGCCCACCAATCAAATGGACAATATCGTCTTCAAAGAAGTATATGATGCCTAATTTTTTGTGCCATTTTTTGTTTTGATAAATATTTGTGCTTTGAATTTGTGTCGCGCTTTCGGAACCAAACCGTTTTAACGGTATTGCTATTTTTGCCTATTTATGCCTGCAACTGTAATGGTGCCCACGCAAAGGCCAGATGATTAAAGCCACGAAGTGGCTTTAATCATCTGGTTTGTTCCAATAATTATATCGAAACATTGAAATCTCTAGAATTTCTAGTGGAATCGCTCCTTATTTCATAATGTTTGTAACAATTCCAAAATTTATTAAATTTAATGCATTTAATATTAAGAAAATGTCTAAATAAAATATTGATATCTTCCAGCCGACTTTTTATCGCTTAATTTAGCAACGATCAGCGAGGGGCTACCCGCGTTCTTCTACCATTTTCCGAAAACCCAGCAAAACCACCGATCGTCACGGTCACGGTAGATTTGCATTTGAACCTTGAAATGAAAAATGACAAAGATACCTTAAAAATACATTTTAGCCCCTACAAGCCGTCGGCTTCATCATCACCTTTTTTCAGGTCCAAATGGCCCAATATCGATTTTTGTAAGTCCATTATAAATTTAGTTTGAATTATAATTCAGGCTTTCTGGTTCTGATTTGTCCAAAACAATAACACCTTCAAAACTCAAGGAAAGTGGCTATTTAGAGCATCAAGTAATCTCCAAAGGTGTAGTTCTATTCATTTTTGCACAAAAATGTTTCGGATTTAGTTCCGGGGAAATTGCTGCGAATCCGGATAAATTCGAGCGACCCGCAAAGCTGCATGAGGATTTATTTTCGGACAGAAACGGTAGCGAATTTCTTTTTAAAATCTGGTATTCTTAAATGCTTCTAATTTTTAAGCAATTAAATCCAGAGAAGGATTAAATTGATCAAATTAGTAAAGTAAAGCACCGACAAAAAACAAGACAAATAACTAAACGAGAGGTTCAACTGATAAAACCCTAAAACCTTTCGGAACCCTCGTAAATTTCTCGTGTTTCAAAATTTTAGGTGATACGGCCCTTCACCAAAAATTCAATACGTATTTTCCGTGTTTCCAAGTAATTTTATGTTTGCTTTTACGTTCCCTTATTTTTGTTATTTTTGTATTTTTCCTAGGTTTTCCCATTCTATTAATTTTTCTATGGGTTAGTCCAGAAATGCCTTTCAGTGTTTTAATAATTATTTAGTAAAGCTGAACTATGTTTTAATTGGAAAAGAGACTGGCTAATGCGTTCGTTTTTGATCAGTAGGTTCAATCGACGAACACGCGAATTTTGACTTCCGAGCCCCTTTAAGCTCGTCTAAATTACTTAATTAGTATAATTATAAACACCCTATTATTTATCAAGATTTCGATGGAGGCTCTCTTTAATTCTGATTATCATTGAATATTTTATGGTTTGTATATTACCAGATTAAAAAATCAAGTTTCATACAAAGTTCGTATCGCGCATCGTTTTTTGATCGGAATTACCGGTGTGTTAATTAAATTTATCAAAAACCAGCGTGCAACTCGGAAGAATGAGGAAATTTGTATTTTTTCACATTATGCAAATTAGCCCTCAGGGTCCCCAAAAATTAATAAAACCGGCCTTAACTTTGTAAGCTTATATTTTCACGAAATTCTGAGAAAGCCATCGGAAACAGAAGGGTCGATTCCCCGGGCTGACGAAGAATTGGGGCATTTTATGCACGGGAAGGACCCCAAATCGGGCCTCGAAAGTGGCATCCACACACCACACACACAGTTACACGCCAAAATTATATAAGGTAGGATTAAAAGTCAAAATGATTGAAAAAATCAAATTCTATTTATTAATTTTAGTAAAAATTTTCGAAAATTTCAAAAATCAAGATTTAAAAGTATTAAAAAGCTGGAAAAAAATTAATCAGACGTCTTGAAAATAGGAAGCCCTCCGCCATAATGCGCTGCTCTCGCCAGAAAACGTGAATTTCGTCACGATGACGAGCCGGTTGTACCTAGATTTGGAGGTGGGTTAGTGACATTGTAATTGGGTAAAATTTGAATTTAAAAATAACTTAAATTCAGCTATCGACAGAGCCTCTGCAAATACGCTACGTATTAAACGGGAATGACGAGGAATGTGGGACCATTTGGGGTAAGTTTTTTTACGAAACACTGTTTAAAAAACCATTAAATTAAATTATTGAAAATGTCTTCCATTTCTGCCAATGCCATTAAACTGATCAAAATTTATTTACGATTTATTGTTTTCCACACTCTAACAATGCCGTAAAAAGTCAGAGGTGTAGCTTGCGGGAAAAAGTTATTACTTTTACGAATGGATACATTATCTGCAGCTTTTTAAGGGTTAATAGGAGCTAGTAGATGAAACATTTCTGTGAAGTAATTTAGAAAGCCCTAAACAGCGTGAAAAACAGCTTCAAATTCACTACGAACTGGTGGAACATCCTGGATATGGGAAGCCGATTTTAGCCCTGGTTGCGCTGTTTTTTGGCGTAGCCTCGCTGCCAGTGGTTGTGGTAGCTAGGTAAACAAATACTATTTTTAACGTATGAGAGCGAGAGAGAGAGAGAGAGAGAGAGAGAGAGAGAGAGAGAGAGAGAGAGGAGAGAGAGTTCGAGTGAGAGGGAGTGTGTGGGCGACAGAGAGCGAGAGAAAGAGAGAGAGGAGAGAGATAGCGATGGAGAAAGAGAGAGAGAGCGAGAGAAAGAGGGAGAGGAGAGCCAGAGAAAGAGATTGCGAGAGACAGAGACAGAGAGAGAGACAAAGAGAGAGCGAGAGAGAGAGAGAGAGAGAGAGAGAGAGAGAGAGAGAGAGAGAGAGAAAGAGAGAAATCGTCCGAAAAACATTTCGAATTTCTTTATTTTAGCCCGATCCTGCTTGCCGTCATCAAAAAATCGTTAGCAGCCCCGCAAGACGAAGAGGTGCGTTTTAAATTACATGTTTCTACAAATCGAAATGTGATGTTGCGCCGGCGATCGTTATTATTATACAGCACGCATTTAGAGTTTGGCTGAAGCGCTGCCAGGATCTGGCGAGGATACCCGGGATTCGTTATTGGTCCCCGGCGGTCCTGTAATTCCAGCGCTTCGAGGCGGTTGGTTTAGAAAATTATATTAGTTTATTATAGAGAATGCACCATAAACTAGCTTCATTTACCCAAAAATCTGGTAATGGAAGCTTGTCAAGGCCCGAAACATTGAGATTGAAACATCTCCAAAAGACCAAGGGTTGCAAACTTCAAAACAACAAAACAAAACTCATCCGTGCGAGAGTAGCCGTGATTCCCGTTCCCGCACGCACAAAGCGAGCTAAAACTAAAACATTTTTTCCTTTTGCGCCTTGGATCGTAAAAATTGATATCTTTTAAAAGGGCATCTTGCTCAATTCTAACGTGCTACATTTAATTTCTGTGGCGTTCCAGATAAAAAAATCCATAAGGAACGTTGTTGCAAAATGTGCTTTAATATAGAAAATTCATACTGTAGTAATTTGCAAGCGGTTGGTTGTCAACCCCCTGCCAACATCTTGGAATTGCGTGAAAACACAGCGTCGGACTGTTTAATCAGAATCGTCCGGAATTCATTGCTTTAATGAAACCTTTAATTTTTGCCAAAAAGCATCTTTTCTCAATTTTGGTCTCTGGATCTTAGATTTTGATGTTTCGCGAAAATTACACGTTGCTCAATTCCAAAGATAATCATTGCATCTCGAATTTGAGAATAATTGTTTAAAAATTTGGATTATAATAGAAAATTAAAATGTATTCAGTTCCAAGTGACAAAAGTCGTATAGAGTCGTAAAAAGTCGTAGAAAAATAGATCAAACCATTTTAGGGCCGGAGAATGAGTTGGACTGGCTTGGAGGAGATCAGAATTCCGAACGTTCAGATGAAGTCAAGATCAAACCAGGCGAAGATTACGAATTGTTCCGAGACAGGGAGGCAAGAATTTTTAAAAACATTCGTTTGCAAAATTTCAGTGATATAAATTGAATTGAGCGTGGTCTAAATTGTGCTATATTTCTATTTTAAGTTTTTTTTAGAAATCTGCGTTACCGCTGGCCGCCTGCCAATTCGCCGTCTTTTTGCTGCCACCAATTTTGCAGGAGGCCTATGGATTTTTCACGGTAATGAAGCCACCTAATTTTTGGTTTTAATGAATACTATTTTGTCTTAAGGCAAAAATTGCCTATTCTTTTAAAATAACAATTCTTGCCGATATAAAATATATATAGCAAAATATCACAAAAAGAGAATCGATATTTTTATATTTTTTAATAACTCGCAAAACATTTGATATAGCTTTAATAACGCTAAAGAACCAGGCATTTTTGTGAGATATATAATATTCAAATTCAATTCAGGACCCCGCTCCAGGACCCGAGAGCTGCTATCACAATTTCGCGTGTGCGAGGCCGCTGGGGAGCATTGCCTCTTTTAACCATATCATCTCGAATTTGGGATACGGTAACTTTAAAAAAATAAAATATACAAGTATTTTCAGTATTTGTCGGTGTTGTGTATTTAGTATTCCAATGGAAAAGAGCTGCCTGGTTTTCGGGGAATGAAAAAACGGAGGTGAGCTAATTCTCCGAATTGTCGGTGGCTACCTTTAACTTACTGACGAATGAAAATCGATAGTGACAGCAGAAATTTTTGAAACATTTTTTTATGATTTTGATATCCGACAATTCTTTATGGACAATCAAAGCCGATTTAAACCTAAATTAGGCATGCTACCACCATGCAATAATTAGATTAACTTGCATTTGTTCGTGATAATTCATCGGGGTAGTTGCGTTCTAAGGCGGTAAAAAGGTAAAGAGGAAAACTGTTGCTTTCATGAAACCTTCTTTTTTGGTGTGTTGGCACTTCACTAGCTGACCTAAAATAGCAGAAAATTCGGCATGATAATAATAACACAAAAATAATCCGATTACAAAGAGGCTAATCTATAAATTTTTTTATTTCTTCTATCCTTACCAAAAAATGTTACCTTTATTTGGTGCGGTAAAGGCAATAAAAATAAGCGAAGAGAGACCATTTTCAGTAAGGCCTAGTTGCGTAATTAATTGGTTGTTTTAATGGTGTTCTTATCCAGAATTTAAATATATTTTCAGCAGAAAAAAAAACAATCATAAAAAGCCCCCGAAAAATTTTTTTTGTACGCATTTTGATCGAAAAATCGTAATTTTTCGATATTTTTAAGCAAAGTTAAAGTTTTTACATTTAAGCATAGAAAACATTTTAGAAACACTTCCTCTATTAATACTAGAAATTCGATCCTTATAAAAGTTGAGTTTCCGCTCACATTTCATCCCCCTTCACTGGAAAAAAATATGTTTCTTCGCCCACAGATGCCAATTTTGTTTCTTAGACCATATTCGTCGCAACCAAGACCTTGGAGCCATTTTCCAGCATCAATTCGGCGTATACCGTAGCTCGAGCGTTGATATGGCCCTTGGGGTGTCCTTAATGTGCGAGGCGGTGGCGAGTGCTGTCTACCATCTTTGCCCATCCAAGTCAGCTTACAAATTTGGTGGGTATAATTCTTCGGTTGAATTCTAACGGGACTGACAAGCAGTTTTTAAAGGGGTTTTACTTAAATTCATTGTTTTATTTTTTGCAATAGTAAAAAATGTTTAAAGGAACCGGCAAGTCAAGCTTGAAATTTGTTACTTCTCGCCGCATCATTATAATTTGACCTGAGAAAACGCCAAGATTTGCGTGATTAATTGTTATGGCTTCATGAATTTTCATGAAGATTGTGAAAATTGTAAAGATGCTTAATTTTATTTGATTAATATTGAAAATTAAACATGAATTGTCGTAATTAAATCGATTTATAAAAATAATTTCCACGTAGGTTAGAGGGACCTTTAGCTCTTTCTGGAACGTCATCTTTTTCGATAATTTGCCGTATCCATTTGCCTTCGATTTCGCTTAAAAATGTGCTGATTTTTTGTGTTCTTTTTCCAGTATAAGCCTAAATTTATTCGAACCACAACACACGTCTAATGACTCTAGATCAGTGTTATTTCGATGCTTGAAAACTTGAAAGATATTTTTTCAAAAAAAATTTTTAGAGAAATCTGTATTTTTAGTTTTTACCCCTTAAGCATCTAATGAATTCGAGGGCAATTAAATTTATAGATTCCATAACCCTATTCTTCAGTAATTTAATTAAATAGCTTTGGAACCATTTGGTCCAAATTAGCGTAATTATACCGTGAGTTGCCTATTACAAAATATAATTGCGACACAAGTTAGTATGACCAACGAAACACTATTTTTTAACCAAAAATGATCATGAGAAAAACGGCGAAAACCACGTTAAAAACTCAAAGTCAACTCAACTCAAACTCAAAAAATCCAGTACCCTCTAGATACCCCATTCATCGTGTCGTTCTGCGTGTTGGCCATGTTGAGGTTATACGGTAGTCGACACGGCCCTCCTACCCATCGACACATCCAAGCATTAATCGCCGGCACACTGGCTGTCGATTTTTGCATGCAGGTGGGTCAAGTTTATCTATTAAATTTTTTTTTGCCATGAATTGACTTAAAATTCATTATCGAATTTTAATATAAATATCAGGAAAAATGTTGGTAGCTGGTGGGATAACAGGGCAAGGAAATACTGTTGGCCTTTGGCTATGATCAATGTTAGTAAAAAGTTCTTATCGGACTGATACATACACTTGATCTTTACGGGAAGACCTCATTTCGGTTACTCATCGGTTTATCGCCCTTGATATCGACTTGAGACAGACTACCGGGCCAAATCGAACCACTCGATTATCGTCTCTTCAAAATGCCCGACGAGGACGACGAGGACGACGACAGCCTGCGGATTCCGGACGGCGACGTCTACGTGCCGCCCGTCGACTCGTCCTCCTCGGAGGCCGACCCGGACGGGGGCCGTAACGGAGCTCCGGAAGACCAGGACGAGGAGGACGACTACGCCTGCCCAGAGGACCCCGGCTTCTATTACCTACCAACGCCAATCGATACCTACCAGTGTCGGATTTGTGCAGCGGGGCCGTATAAGTTGCAGGGGGGGACTCACGCGGCATCTCAAGCTCACCCACCACCTCGCCATCAAGTTCCGATGTGCCGTCTGCCGAACCCGCTTCGAGACCATCAAAGCGGTGAAGCACCACCAAGCCAACACCGTCGCCTGCACACAAGCCGTCACGCAGCCACCGCCACCCGTCCAGCCCGTTGCCCCTCGGAATAGCCCACGGCGGATCAGACCTGGGTCCCCCCAGCCTGTGAGTCCAAGGGTGCGTTCCAGTGATAGCGTGTCTGAGACGTTCGTCACGCCCGTCAACACAGTGCGTCGCCCCGCCCGTGCTCAAGCCGTCCACCATCTCCAGATGCTCCTCATCAACCTGACCCCCTCATGGACATCTCCCAAGATGGATGGATCACACGGTTTACGGATGTGGCCGACACAGCAGACTTGGAAAAGCTGGTCGATGAACTGACTACCGTGATCAAGGCCAAATACTCGATACGGGACAAGCCGCCGCCACGCAAGCCACCAGCCCGAGCTCGTCCCCCGCCACCAAGCACACCTACAGGACGGAGACGTGCCCAAGCCCGCTACTGCCCTAAAGCCGCCTCTCGGATCCAGAAGCTCTACCGTCGGTCTCGACCGAGAGCCTATAAGGAAATCACGGAGGACTCTTCGCCGTACTGCGATATTCCGAGTGACGACCTCCACAAACACTTCGCCAAAGTGTTCGAAAGAACTGATGTGCCCGACCAAAGCCGACTTCCTCGATCGGTTCCACAGCACGACATTGACATCCCTGATGGTGACTCCAATCCATTCGCTGACGACTACACGCCACAAGAACTCTGGGATCGTCTGCTCCACGTCAAGAACACTGCCTCTGGCCCCGATGGTGTCCGCTACTCTGTGCTGAAGCTCTTCGACCCGGGTGCCAAGGTCCTCGCCGCCTACATGAACGCCGTCCGCCGCCTCAAGTACATCCCAAGCTCCTGGAACGGCTCCAACACCATCTTGGTGCACAAAAAAGGCCCGAAAGATGACGTCTCCAACTGGAGGCCCATCTCACTCTCAAACACCGTTGCCAAGTTGTACGCGTCCGTGATGGCTCGCCGTCTCGGTAGATGGGCCCGACGCCACAACCGCATCTCCAATGAGCAGAAGGGCTTCATGCCGGTCGATGGATGCACAGAGCACAACTTCCTCCTCCAGTCCGTGATCGTCGAGACCCGTCGCGACAGAAGGATCGACAGCAAGTGCGCCATTGCCTGGCTCGACCTCTCCAACGCGTTCGGCTCCGTCCCGCATGCCTCGCTCTTCCGATGCCTCGAATACGCTGGCCTTTCGGTGGAGGCGATCGAAGAAATTCGTCGTCTCTACGAAGGTGCCACAACATGTGTCCGAAGCTCTACTGGCCCGACTCCGGCCATCAACATTCAAGCGGGTGTCAAGCAGGGCTGTCCACTTTCGCCGATCGTGTTCAACCTGGCGCTCGAGCCCGTCATCCGTGCCGTCATCAACATGGATGCTGGCTTCGTGATCGATGGAAGGATGGTGTCTGTGCTCGCCTATGCTGATGATCTTGCCATCGTGACCAAGGAGCCCGACGATCTACATGCTGTGCTTGAGACCGTGTCTGAAGTCTCTACGTGGCTGGGGCTCGTGTACAACGCCAAGAAGTGCGCAAGTCTCGTCGTCAACGCCAACAAGCACACTGCCATGCCGATCAAGTACTCCGTTCAAGGCTCTCCGATGGCGACGCTCGACTCCGACGACCACTACGAACATCTCGGCGTCCCCACCGGCTACTATCAAGGCTCATCGGCTGAGAAGACGATTAACAAAATGCACCAGTGCCTCGACAAGATCCACAACTCGCTGCTCGCCCCCTGGCAGAAGGCTGATGCCGTCAAAACCTTCATCCTCCCGTGCATCGGCTTCCACCTGAAGAACGGCTACGTGGAGAAAAAGAAGCACCTCATCCCCTTCGACAAGAAGCTCAAGAAATACGGCAAGATGTGGCTCAACCTGCCAAGTCAAGCAAGCCCTGAAGTGCTCTACCTGCCGAATGAGATGGGAGGCCTTGGCTTCATCCAGACGAAGACCCTCGCCGACGTGATGCAGCTGGTGCATGCTGTTCAGTTGTTGGAGTCGAGTGATCTCGGCCCAATGACTGCTCAGCTGCTCCGTACGGCTACACAGAAAGCTCCTTCGTGCGCCAACCGACTCCGAAGTGGCCGACTACTTGAACCAGAAGCTTGACGGTGCCTTCGAGACATACTACGCCGACACCCGCAACATGTGGACAAGAGTGCGACAAGCAACGGGACGGCTGGTCAAGACGGACAAGCTCGACGTGAAGTGGACCTGGGCCAACGACAAGATCCAACTGCTCGTGCTCGGATGTGGCGTCACCAAGAAGACGTGTGAGAAGATGCTCAAGGGCGCCGTCCATCAAGCTCAACTCATTCACCTCACCGCCAAGAAGAGCCAGGGCAAGGTCTACAACATCACCGCTCGCCAGCCCTGCTCCAACCACTTCATGCGTGACGGACGCTTCCTCCGCTTTGCGGATTGGCGCTTCGTTCACCGGGCAAGACTCGACGTCGTCCCACTAAATGGCTGCAAGCGTGCCCGTGATCACCATGACAAGACCTGCCGTAGATGTGGCGCCACAATCGAGAGCGTCGCCCATGTGCTCCATTGTCCAGTCCACAACCATGCGATCACCCTCCGTCACAATGCCATCGTCGACCGACTCATCAACGCCATCAAGTTGCCCGACACCACCACGAAATACGTCAACGTCAAGATCCCCGGCACCGATGGTCAACTACGCCCCGATCTCGCCCTCATCGACCATGTCAAGAAGCGTGTGACGATCGTGGATGTGACGATGTCCTACGAGAACTACGACCTGAGCGTCTTCGAAGCTGCACGTGACGGGAAGCTGCGCAAGTACGCCGACATCGTCAACAAGTTCAACGCGGACGGCTACGACACGTTCTTGGGCGCCTTCATCGTGGGTCCACTCGGTGGATGGGATCAAGGAAACGAAGTAGTGCTGCGCCGCCTCGCCATCTCGGTCAAGTACGCTGGTCTGATGAAGAAGTTGATGGTCGCCGACGCGGTACGCTGGTCCAAGGACATCTACATCGAGCACGTCTGCGGGCAACGACAATACCAAGCCTAAAGAAGAAGCGATTCTCATTTCTCACATTTTCAAATTGTCAATTTCTCGTGCCCCACCCCACTTGAATCCAAGATCTTTCTGTGATTTATTGATTCTTGTCATTTCTCCTCTAAACTGCTGTAACCCCTAATTCTAAATGCCCTGCGCGTCATTCTATGCATCTTTCTCGAAATTGTGATCCACTTTGATCCGGCCCCCGGGCCGAGCATTGTCTGAATAAACGTTAAAATGAAACCCCGGCAGGTGGTATATAAATTAGAAAAGCATCAGACGGTTACAACAAAAAATAAGTTAATAGTTTTTAAATGTAATTTCTAAAACTTAATTTTTTTTATGAAACCGTACACAAGTTCTAAAAAATATGTTTCAGGTGCATTGCTCGTTCGGCTGTTTTAGATTAAGCCAATGATTTCAGAAATTGGCCGAGCATCTACCGGGCAGCTGGCCCCTTCAAGCCGTCTTCTTCTTGGCGCTACTTCTCGGCGTTTTGATCAAGATTTACTCCGGGAAACACGTCATGAAATGTGAGTTTCGTAAAGCAAATCGTTCACCGAATTAACGTTAATTATACAAAGCTTCTTTTAAAATAGCTTCCTATCGATTAGATTTTTTCGCTTCGAAGTAAGGTTGTTCTTATTTTTATGTATGGTGAAACACGTTTTTAAGATTCGTAAAATTGTTAGTTTAAACTTGTAAAAATTGAGTATATATAACTCAAATTCTCACTTTATTTAAAATCTAATTGAAGTCCTCCGCCAACCCCAGTTCCTGCGACGGCTGTGGCTAAATTACCGTAGCCGTCTGCTGCTCGGCGTGTTGGGGATCAATGTGTCGCTGGCTGGTGGGTATTTGAAAAAAGACGGTGTCGATCGATTCATTGAGAATGAACAGGAAAAATTGAATAATAATATTTTTGAAACACTAAATTTTCCCAATTTTTTCGTAAAATTTAAAATCTGAATGCCTATTATGACATCAAATAATAGAAAAATTATAATAGAAACCTATTACAACGTGAAAACCAAATTCGTGAAATTGACACCAAGTTTTAGATTTTCCAGTTTTTGAAATGTAAAACACATTTTGCGGCTTTTTAGTAAAAAGACCCTAGAATTTTATTTATTAAAAACTGAAAATTCCTTCCACGCTGCTTTAAAGAGATATTTTATTTTTATTAATTTTATATCTATTCTCTGCTTTATTAAGTTTTCAAAATAATAATCTTATGTTAGCTGTCTACTTCTTCGTCCATCGATACCTCCATTCCAACCAACTAATCGTCTTTTTTGCCGTAACCAATTTGCTGCTCTATGTTGGCTATTACCTCGTCAACAAGGTATAATTCTGCAACATTCATTTTGGGCCCAAAAATTTCTAATTACGTACTTTTTTGATTCTTTACTTACCTTCTTATTAGTGTTTTTAGGTCCATATAAAAGAACGTATCAGTCGACTCTCCGGTTTTGCCATGCTAATTTCGTGCATTTTATGGGCGATGGCTCTCATTGCTTTTACACGCCAGGAAACCGATTGGGCGGTAAGTAATCGATGAACCGATATCGGAATCGATAAATTCAATGGGATTTTGGAGAATGGTTAATGAAGTTAAGTGAAACATAACTTTTTTACAACAAATTTTGTTTTTTTAAATTCAGGGAAAGCGGCAGGGGATTTGCATTCACGTTTTCGAAAATCGTATTTCCGAAAACCACTTTTTCGAAAAGTTTTGTTTTGGAAAAGTCATATTCCCTAAAGCCATTCGAAAATCAGAATTTAGAAAATCAGAATTTTCGAAAATTCGCTTAATTAATTAATCAAACTATTAGGGATTGCTTTCTGTTAATAGAATCTTGGGGACCCTTTATCACTTCTTAAAGGTACTGTGCCAGTACAATTCGTTGTGAGAGAGAATACTTGCGTGACACAATTTGAAACGCTTGCTCTGCCAATTATCGCGGTTTATCTTCGTTTAAGGGAAACACATTTTTTTTCTATAAAAAAATTGGGAGATAGCGAGTTTATTTGGGATTTCAGGATTACAGCTTTTTTGTACATGCAATCCTTGAAACAATTTTGCTGTAGCTAATCCTTTGTTTCAGCAATAAATGGTAGTGTCGTAGAGGCCAGCCTTTTTACCAAAAATCATCTAAAAAAAATAAAAAAGCAAATTTAGGTAAGCCCAGCTCTCTCTCGGGATCTAAATTCGGAATGCAGCCTCTTCGACTTTTTTGATCAACACGATATTTGGCACGTACTGTCGGCGTTGGCGGCTGGCGGCTCATTACTCGCCCTGGCTACCGTAGACGACCCAACCGCCACCGTACCTCGCGCCAATTTGGTCGTATTTTAAGTTGGTTTTCTGAATTTTTATGGATTATTAACGCAAAATAACAAATAATAATTTGCCCAAAAATGGTTGAGTTGTTCCAAATCAATTCGAAGAAAATGAGAAGTAAATGAAACATTCGACGAAAAATCGCTATTTTCATTTTTTCCTTTATTTTTTATTTTGATTAATTTTAATTTTGTATATTTTTGCATTGGTACTTTTACTTTTTTTTGTAACGAATTGTTTAACCTTGTTATTTCCCTAATGATTTGAAAAACATCTAATGTCATTTTGTCCGTTTCCGGTTAATTTTGATCATCTCTACTTGTAGATCTCATACATATGCATTCAACGTGGTAACAATAAAATCAATGCAATATTTAACAAACAATGAAACATTCCTAAAGCCGGCCCAAATTTGCTTTTTAATATCGATGGTGATCGCTGTGGTGATCGCGGAAATTGCGAAACAGGGTGAACGACGGGATCCATCTAAAAAAAATTGTTTCAATATGAAGGAAAATGTCTGAAAGATCTTAATTGTCATTTTATGGAAGGCTATCGAAAAGTAGTAAGTAGTATCCAAAAATCGTCAAGGTTAATTTTACTTTCTTGATAACGTGGTTATTGTTTTAATATTGTTGTTGTAAATTACACCAATTAATCATACAGGTCTATATTATTTTAAAGTACTTCTGTCGCTGTGCATTCCAATCGCATCGTATCGACCACTGAAAGCAGACCCAGTCGCCGAATTTGTCCTCCTGGCCCATCATGCGGATCTTCACAAACGCGAAATGGTCGTCGCCTTGCTAAAAAAAGATTTCAGGGTTCTGGTTCCTTACCGGGGGGGACACCCCCTGGCATATTGACGAAGACATGGCAGCTTCCCTCCCCCCACCCCACGATATTCCTCTCCCCCCGCTAATAAACCAGAGCCCAAAAATTCTTAAAACTTAGACCTAAAAAAACATTTTACCATTAACTTGGCTGCAAAAAATTGGTGAAATATGCAAATTCATCATGATAGCGACCTACTCTCAATTTGTAAAATGTCCAATCACTTTAATTAGCAAGTACTTTATTGTTGCATTTTGCAAAGGTATGAAACACCATTATCCAAAACCTGACGTTATGTTGATGGCATGAAACAAGCTTTTTTCAAGCTATTATGTTCCGTTAAACGAATCTTTTTTGAAGTATTTTAGGTCGACTTACCCGCGTGTATTCAGCCAACTTATTCTCGTCAAAGGCCACCACGATTGGGCTAGTTTCGTGGCCACCCGGCAATTCGAACGAATTCTGGAAAGTGGAGGGAATTGATAGGACGAAAAACGATAATTCCACAAAATACGGGACGCTGAAAATCTTCTTCGGAAATAGAATGTTTCGCCAATTAACCCTAACAAAAGGAACATTTTGGCAACAATTGTGCCAGTATGATGAAAGTCTAATATGCTTACAAGGAGTCGCTTTTAGGTGCTTTTGGAGTTTCGGGACGGGACCTAGCTAGTTCGATAGAGAAAAAAATTCTGAGCAACATCCCGTTTTCAAAAAGTGCTGATCGATAAAGGAATTTTAGAAAATTTAATTTAAAGTTCGCGTTTTTATTCTGGTTTTCGGGTCCATTTCCTCGGTTCACGTCGTTTTCGGGGCTTGGCAGGGCGCCATTCGTAACCCTCCGCCAATGCCTCCACAGGTTGCATTAGCGTATTGGTAGCGCGCTTGCCTACCAACTTTTTAACATTTTTTGCCTCGGGTTCGAATCTTCGCGCTGGCTAACCCTTTGCTTTTTGGTTCTTGAACCCGTTATCGTTGCATAAAATTTTAATTAGCAAAAAAGCAAAGAGTTAACGGTAAATAAGAATCGAACTTGTGGCAAAAGGTCAAAAAAACTTCGTAGGCCAACGCACTAGCCACTTGGCCATGCATAGGACGAGATCCAAGGCGCGTGAAGTCCTCATGTGGCAGGGTCGATCGACCCCCGCAAATCACCTCTAATCACCACAAGGGTCCGGACACCGGGAACATTTTTAATTAAATTCAATTTTCTAAAACAGCTTTATCGATCAGCACTTTTTGAAAACGTGATGTTGCTCAGAATTTTTTCTCTATGGAACTGGCTAGGTCCCGTCCCGAAACTCCAATAGCACCTAAAAGCGACTCCTTGTTAGTATCGTTGACTTCTATGTTTTAGATCTTAACAGACTCGAAACATTTTCTGGTATAGCTGCTACCTGCGAGAGAAGAGAGTGAGAGAGAGCAAGTAAGAGAGAGTGTTAGATAGATAGCGAGAGATAGTGAGCGATAGAAGAGAGAGATAGGGTGGGATAGAGAGAGAGCAAGATAGAGAGAGATAAAAGAGAGAGAGAGAGGCGTAGCTTGTAAAATACCTTATAGAATCTGCGCTCTTCCTGAAGACCCATTTGGGGGAAATCAAGCTGTGCATCGTAGGGATCGGTGATGAGAAATCGGATGAGACATGTCTCAGACGTCTTGTTCTTTAGCGTAAAGAGGAGTTGCCCGTTCTGGAGGCCATTTCGCGAGAGGACTGAAAAGGGACAGTTTTTGAAGGTATCTGGATCCCATTAGGCTATTTTAAGGTACCTGGCGTTGAGTTACGTTATACTACTATGTTGTACGACTATGAGTCTTGCAACGTACAGTTGGTCTGTATCGGTGGCCGATGTTTGGGGGCGTATTTCCGTTTGTCGGACGGTAGTCTGTCGTATCGGTAGCCAATCCGTGTTTCGATGCCCGTGCATACGGTATTGGTCTCGCTGCGCGCATCGTCATCATCGTCTGCAAGAATACATGGTATAATGCGCGTCAAGATCATTCCATTCCGATCCTCCGTTCCTTGAACGGCAATTCAGAACTTGCCTGCCGATCGCAGATCCCGGTAGCTTCGGCGACTAGCTCGGGAAAGTGAGCGAGCGGGACGAACGCTGCTGAAGGATTTGTATTTTTAACAATGAAGTAAATTTCGTAGGCCTTAAGCGCACTTTGTGGGAGTCTGCGCCCTGCGGGCCCGTGAACGATCTGGGGGTGCCGGTTGAGCTGGTTGAACTGGTTGAGCTTGTTGAGTAGGCTGGGCAACAACGGGAAGAGGTTCTCGGATTGGAGCTGGTTGCTCGGATCGTGAAACTGGAACATAGAGAAAATCCGTGCCAGAAACGCTTCGCGGCCCTTTTCCTCACCGCCCATTCTACACCAAGTTTTGCTACTTCTATACCAGTCATCTCTCCCCACCTCGTTGAACTGTCTCATTGATTCTTGCGGGTTCCGGCAAAGAATAGGCCGGCGGTGCATCGGGAGTCGAGCCCTGGGCAAGTTGGGCGGCCAGCGAGCTCAGATGCGCGACTTCCTGCAATTTTTTATATGTTTCAAATGATTTATCTAGCGGGTCGCATACATGTCCGATTTTACGATTTCGGTAGCTATCGAAAGCTCTCGGAAAGGCGAATCCAGACGGCCTATTCGATTATAGAAATCCGAGAATTGTTGGCCGGATTCTCGGCATGTTTCATGCAAAAGGGACACGTTTTTCCCAAAAACTGAATTTAATTGCTTGTAAATCGGCGTGGAAATGTACGAAATTCCGGAAAATTTTCGAAAATCACATGTTTTCTCAGCTCGTTGAGAGCTTTCTATAGATACCTGAATCGCAAAAGACGGACACTCCTCCGGCCCGCTGAAAGGGTTTTTTTAGTAAACCCTGTAGAACTTTAAAATAATAAAAATTACTTTGCATACCTGTATGATTTGCTGTGAAATGGCCTGCGTATCCAGGACGGCCAATAACTCATCAACCTCTGCTGCTGAAGCTCTCTCCCATCTGTCTGCCTCCGAGTTGTAGATCTAAAAATATTGAATTGGGCGGTTGAAAATATGTAAAGAGTTAAAGGTTAAAAAAGTTAAAAAGTTAAAAGACGCTGTTGTTAATAAAAAAAATAAGTTAAAAATATTGAATTGTTGTCAAAATCGAAGTGAAACATGGAATTTCAAAAAACCTCATGATGCCCCTTACCGCACGTCGTAGCTCGAGATCTTCGAGCAGTCTGCCGGTTTCTTGAAAGAAAGTCAGTAGCCGCCCTTTGAACGCCTCGATATCGTCGGCTTTGAGCTTTTTCTGAGATATGCTGTTATTATTATAGTTTTTTTTCGTTTTGGTGATAATAACTTAAACTTATTTAATGCTTACGAGCGCCTGCAGCGGGCTGTCGTGGTACAAATTGTCGCAAGGCAGATGCGTTCGATAGCAGGCGTCGCAAATCAGGTTGTTCCGAAGCTGAAACATTTTATGGCATAGGCTCGCACAAACGCCTAACGCTTTTTATTTCTTTTTAGTTTTATTTAGATATTTATCTTTATATTTATATCTATTTTAATATTTATAAAAAGCTATTTATTTTTTCTCGCTGACCTGCTCGAAATCGAAGGGGGTTTGTCGACGGCATTGGCGCAGGCTTTGAAAGGGTCGATCCGCAGCACACTCTTTACAGTAGAATAATGGCGGCATTCAGGGCTGAAATTACAAAAGAATTTATTGGTTAAATCCAATAATTAAATGTAGTGGAAGTTTAACGCCTTAAAAGCAAAATACCAGAAAATTTCAATCTATCTTTTTCTTTAGCATTCATAAAATCCAGCAAAAAAGTTACTATTTAATTTAAATAAAATATAAAAGAACGATTCTTCGGTCAAGGTTTCAAATCTTTTACATTTTTAAAAGTTTTTAAGCTAACTTTTACACTTAAAATGTACTTAAATTTTCCTAAAGACACTATTAAAATATTTGGAAGCACGCTAATAGCCATTTCTCGACCAATCCCCCCCCCGATAATGTAAAAGAACCTACCATTCTAAAAATGCTGCAATGAGAAAAAATGTTTCAAAAGTAGGCCAGCGCGGTGGCTTATCCAAATACCTAATTCATCCTCGCCTCGTGTCGCAGCTTATTATTTTTTCGCTTTCAAACAAAACATACCCTGAAATCGTAAAAAATCGCGTAAGGT